TTACCAATTTAAAAGTCATCAGGGGTCAAATCTCAGCTCAGAAATCCTATTTGTAGAACTTTATACCTAGTTTCAATTATTTTTAAAATCACCTGACTTTTTACAAATATCGATGATTGAAGCCATTTTGTTGAATGGATCTTCATTTTTCACCACATTCGCTCTAAATCTTTGTAATATTTGCTTTATTTTACCTTCAATGGGAAAACAAAATGTCTTCAAGCATAGTCTACCAAAAGACAACATAACATAATGTCACTTGGTTTACTATTTTAGAGTGCAGGACAGTTCTTCTGTTCTAACCATGGTATTCCATATTTGAATACCTAAGGTATATTTTGAGTGACCTTAAAACTACTCAGGGGTCTAATGAAATATTCATTTTTGTTCCTATATTTCACTGGAAAACTAGTTAATTAGTGGTGCGAAGAAACCTGATAAGTTATTTCAGTAGTATTCAGAGTGCATTGTAGTACATTTTGAAAAGTTGTAGTTCATAAATATAAGAGGTTTACTTTTTCTTGTTTATTAATCGTTGCTGAAACACAACGACCTAGATGAAGACGTCAAGAGATTACTTCTTTTGACGCCACAGAATCCCATGGAACAATACTTAGGATGGAACTTTTTGTTATTCTGTTAGCAGTCACTCCACCCTACTGAAGAATCTTTATTGTACAGGAACTGTGTCTAATGAATAGAGGCACTGCCAGGTGTCATGTTGGTGTTTTAACTCAATTTAAGGGTGGTAAATAATTGGGGGATAGTAACATACAATGACAAGTTGAGAAGAGGAAAGCGTAGATAAATGAGTCGGGAAAATGAGTTGTAAGTTATAAATTTATGAGATTATGTGGAAGAATAAAGGAGCTATCGCGAGCAAACAAAAGGTGATAATGGTGAAGCAGAGGGAAATAAGTAGAAAGTAGGTTGAAATGGGGAGTTAAGGTGAAATATTTAGGAAGACCACAAAACTGATGGGTAAAAAAGAAGAATGGCCTGTGAGGAAGTGGGATTCCAAAAGGAAGTCAGGGCGGAAACAAAAGAGAGGTCCGAATAGGGGAGACTACTCAGGGAGTAGATAGTGAGGAGAAGAAACTTATAGAAATCCAGAAGGAGAAGTGCAAATCATTAGGTGAAGGTGTAAAACAGGGGCGAGTATTGTATTTCGTGAGAAATGTCGCTTTATTTCAACAGTGAACTTCCACCTTTTGGATGAATTGAGAATAAAAAACGAACCACATTTGATACGTCATCCCAGGCGACCTTGTTTATAACAGTTCTCAGACTGTAATTCCTCATGAATTCGCAATCATAGACCACCTATGAAATACCGTAATGCATAAATTCATATCTGAGTTCCCTTGATGTTGAATCGGGAACAAAAATAATTCAGAGACAAATCGACCACACTTAAGAACTTGGCTTCCAATGAGTAGCATAAGGGTGTTATTCTTGGAATGGATAATGGAAATTACATTTTTAGGAATACCCTTGAATACTGCATTATTTATTATCACCTTTATTTGACTTTTACTCCGGAACTACTGACAACTTTAAAGTAGTTTCAAAAATACGCAATATTTTCATCTGGGCAAGACGAACAATATTCGCAGAGTAAATTCAACCGCTATTTCACAGCTTCTCTTCAGCTGCAAGTTCACAGAATAAATACAGAATTAACATGGAATGAAATGAGAAACCTACTTTTGAGTTTGAAAAAGGTAACCATGCACATTGGGAAACAAAAATCAAACATGCAGAACTCAGTCATCAAATGTTAGCAATGAGAATAATAGTGAATATTGGCGAATAATGGAATTTGAAGGACGATCCTACAGTTTTAAAAACGGATGTGGGGAATAGTAAAAGATTATGAAATAATCAGTCTCATGATAATGATAATAATAGTGAGAATAATAAGATGATTATCCCAATCATAATAACAGATTTTCCACACACAGTGAACCATATAATTACATATCATAGTCGCTCTCCAAGATGCCTCATCGGGAATGACAAGTTGACTTGACTGATCGATTCACTGTAAGTTTATGAGTGTACCTGCAGCTGTGAAGTTGGATGTGTAGGTCTTTTATCATGGACTGTCGTTCGACGCATTCAAGAACATCGTCAAAGGTGGCTACGAAGACCAATCAGGTTATTTGTTTAGTGAAATAAGGTTGTTACAGAACATCAGAGCTGTGCATGTAAAAACAATTTTTTAAAATCTTCATTACCATCATACTAACAAGGCTAATCAGTAAGGTATCTGAAAATCTTGAACATAGATCAATCTCAGGTCAAGTTTTTAAATGTTTTGAATATTTTCTAGACTTACATTGTTTCAGATTATTATTAGTAGTAGCATTATAGTAGCTATTTTCATCCTGTTTACATTTCTTTATTAAAATTCATATCATGTGAACTTAGTGAAAGCCTATCTTATTAGAGTAAAGCTACTGCTATTATAGTCCCTTAAACGAATGGATAATACTGCCTTCTCGAATGTCTTCTATATGTTCCTATTTATTTTCACATATTTTCAAATTTTATTACCCTACTGACAAAACTATATATCGATTTTATAAACATGCAATGATTTAACAGTGAAAAAACTTAAAAATTAAAAGACAGCCAAATCTACAAAAGTTATTGAGTGTTTCAAAGAAAACTGCCTTTCTAAACCTGGAAATCATATGGGGACTATCGGAGCTGAGATCCTTAATAATCACCAATTAAAATCTCTGAGGAAGACATTGCATACACCTAACCTGCAAATCATGTTATCCAGCAGACAAGTGATCCATCAACATTTTAAGGATGGGATACTACTTCAGGTCACCTCAGTGTGCATCTGTCAGTTCACTTATTCCTATAGAGCCAAGGTACATTGACTGTATAAAGTATCAAGTCTATAAGCGTATTTTGGCACATAGTCCAACATAGTCATTCATAAGCGAGAAAAAATATCAATAGTTCTATTTTTGAACACCTCATCATCGCCAGATATCTGATTCCTCCCAATGGTTCCTTCAAATTAATTTTAAGAATACCTCCATACACACAAGTTGTATCTTTATAAATTCAAGCTTATTTGAAATCAGTAATTCCTACGTTTCACATGGATGTTGGATTTGAGTCTTTTTTGAAAAATGATCAAAATATACATTGTCATAGACATGTATAACTGGTCAACATCACGTTGTTCATCTTATTTTCCAATGTCGTCTGGATTACGACTA